GTTCTTGACACATACCAGTCTTCCTCTGCCATTCCCAGCCCTAGGCTCCAGTGCTGGCACCAGCTCAGCCACTTCAGGCTCTCGCCCAGCGATGCTTACCAGGCCACCATCTCTGCCACCCCTGCTGCCATTGATGGCCCCCCCGCAAGATCCCCAGCAGACCCCAGGATTCATCAGACACTTGAGATCTCTGCACTTCAAGTCTCGAGCCAACATGCAGCCTCCTGGGGAACCTGCCCACCCGTGAGCCTCCCACCACTGCCCATGAATCCCCATTTCCCTAGCAGAGACCTGGGCCCTGAGCCTGGCCTAGGAATGGGCAAAAGGCCCTGGACATAGCGTGGGATCTGTATAAGGTATTTCCTTCCTGGAACCCTGTGGCTGCTAAGTAAGTATGCACACAAATGCAAACAGCACAATTCTTATAGCTTTTTATGAGAAAAAAAAAAACAGTTTAGTTTCTCAGCCAGTTTTCAATATGACATAAACCAAGTGGTTTTAAAAACAATCATTTTATTTAGCTGGGATGTTTCATCAGAATCAGTCCCAGTTAGAGCTGCAGTTAGAGCTGCCGTCACCATGTACTCAGACCAGGTTCTTGTTGGAGGTCAGTTTTATTGAGTAAATCTTTTATTTTATGTTGATTATCCAGCCCAGTGATGACTGGGGCAGTTTAGGAATTGGTATTTATTTTCCTGCTAATCCATGGGGATCCTGGTGCCCTGGCACTTGCTAGGATTGCACTGATTCACCCAGGCTGGGCCACTGCATGTTTTCCTGGTTCTCATGCTCATTGCCCATATGTTTAGATGGCAAAGGGTCAACCCTGAGTTCACAGCCTGACCGTGGCCCGAGTGACCAGCCTGGAACAGCACAGGAGTCACCCTGTCCCATTCATAGTACCCACAGCTCCTCTCTGCACACCCCAGGGTTGAGTTCCTTCCTGGGGGGGATGCAGGTCTTGCGAGTCAGTATGAAGGGTGCCCTAGCCTTGGAAGTCACTGGAGCTAGGGACACCAGGCCTGACCTATTCCCAGGCCTGCTCATCAGCTGCAACATCCCTGACACTGACTGCCCTTTCCTTTCTCCAAGGTCCATGTCCAAGTGAGGCCAGGCTCCCCCTGACGCAGGTAAATTGCCACCTTGGTGGCATTGGCTGGCACAGGTTCAGCCCCCAACCCATCACAGATAAGTATTTCTGGCAACTTCTGCCCATAATAAAATTTGTTGTCTTGATTGTGGTGAGGAGACTGCTGTTTGTCCCATGGAGGCTGGTCTATATAGGGGGATGGGTTGGGACTTGCTAGTCCCTCCCCTTGGCCATTACTCCAGGTCCAGCTTCTGGCCCATTGCCCAGAGCCATTTAGAGCCTAGGGTACTGTCAGGCTCACAACAAACCTTTTCCCACATCTTCCACAGCAGCCACCTGCTCCTGGGAGTCATGGTAGCATGCTGCCACAGAGGCTCTGGCCAGCTCTACCCCCCACTACTAGGAGTGCATAAGCTAGATACTGTGCTTGGTGCAAGGGCCCAACTTCCACCCTTCCACCTGCAGGGACTGGAACCATGGCCCCAGGCAACAGCTGGTATGAGGTCCAGGATGGCCTACTTTAGAGTCTGGCTTATAGGTCCCCTAATCCTCATAGCTGTAAGCTCCCAACTGTCCTGGTCTGTCCCCACTCTGCCTGTCTCTTAAAAGCTACCTTCCCACAGTCTGAGAAATGAGTACTTGGGTTACAGCCTGCAGTTAGTTGTCAGGCTGCTCAGTGGTCATTCGCGTTCCCTCCTTATGTGCTTCAGGTGTTGGGGACTTCAGCCCAAAGCAGGTTAGCAGGGCACAGTCCCCAAAAGGGAACAGGGACCTATGGAATGATGCCAGGTGGGAGCTGCAGACCTTAGAGGCTGGGACAGCCAAGCTGTGCCAATCTGGGGGCCTCCCTCATCCCAGCAGAATCCTCCTCCATCACAACTCTAGCCTGGACACAAGAGGTGGCTGGTTTGCCCAGGGAGGTGGCTCTCCAGGCACAGAATTTCATTTGAACAGATGTGAATTGGGTACAAGGGCTGGGTGGGAAGGAGACGTTCTTACAGAAGGGGTGTTGTTGGACACACTGCATGACCCAGACTCCCTACAGTGAGGTCACAGGGCCTTCTGTCCCTTTCAGACTATGGACTCTACGACCCTGAGGTGGAAACAAGTGACAGCAGCAAACCTGTGTTTCAAGTAAGGCCATCTACACTGGCTGGATGATGGAGACTCCTTAGGGACCCTGCACCCACCACCATCCTGATGTTCACGGTTTTTTTGGGCCCAAGAGATGCTCCAAACATATAACAGCAAGGCCGGTTTTTCTTTTTCCCCTCCCACCCCTTCCTGGGGCCTATAAAAACAACCTACTCACCTCTAATTGTAGCCTTGCTATTACCCAGGAGGCGAGAAATGGCCCCAGAAGGCCAAGCACTTCCCCCTTGCACTGTGCCACCAAGACCATGAGCATCCTGGAAGTAACCCCCCATGCTGCCCCACTTCAGGGGTCCTTGGCACCCCCACCCCGAAGTGAGCTCTATTAAGGCTTAGTAGAAATCTGAACTGTAGCTGAAGAAGCTGAGAACTTTCCAAAGGCAGGAAACTGGAAACAGCCCTGCTGGAAAAGCTCCCCGTTTTGGCCAGTGTGAGCCTCTGCTACCGTGGCAGATAGGCACCAAAGGACTCATCTGCACTCTGCTTGGCAGACAGACCGGCAATGCTGTGAAAAGCCCCTCAGACTTCCAGGACTGCCCCCACAGTAGCCTCCAGGACAGCATGGCTCTATGGCTACCATGAATTGCATTCCCCAAGAACCCTGGCTGGCCCACTGGTGACCCTGGGCATGCCAAGCTGTCTCCAGAGCAGCCCAGTGTCTGGCCGACTGTGGCAGAACAAGTCCCTCTCTGCAGGAGGAGCCCTGCCTGCCCACAGAAAGCTCCCCCATCACTGCTTAGTGGGCTGGTGCCTGTTCTATCACATACTCTAGGGCACCCCCTCAGAACCCAGCTGATCCACACTGCAAGTAACGGTGGCAGCAGGGTGGTAGGGCAGGCATGGCCCCAGCATGGTGGTGGTCTTTGGCCAGCTGTGACCTTGAGGACATGTGTCAGAAGTGAAGCCTCTCACATAATCCTTGTTTTTTTAACAACTTGGTAAACATGTCACCTGGTGCTGCCAGTCCCCAGTGGGGAGGAGACATGCCTGAAACCCAGCCCTGTCATGGATGCAAATGGTGTGCTCTGGTGTGGAATTCTGCAAACAATCCAAAGCCAAATATGCTGGCTGGTGAGGTAGGGGTAGCCAGCCACTGAGGCATTCCTGATCATTCAAGTCCTTCTGGATACCCCATCACCTTTGTTACCTGGGGGGAATCCAAGTTGAACTGTTGAGCTGTTAGGCTCTGGGCAAGTCTGGCAAGTAGGCTCTAGGTGCCTTGTGTCACAACCAAGTTACTGGGTGTGTGGTATGCCAAGAAGTCCATTTCTGGCTCTCCTCAAGTCAGTCCGCAAGATGCTCCCAGTACACTTGGCAGGGCCTCTGCATCTGCTGGGAAGCACTAGTTCCCAAACTCCAATCCTGTCCCTTCCAGTTCCCAGGCATCTCCCTTCTATGTCTCCAGGTTCCTTGCTTGGGGGCACTTACCAGCATTTGGATTCCAGGGTCTGCCATTAGGCAAAGGTCAGATATCTGGGTGCGTACCCAGCACTTGGGGCTCTCAGGAGTGGCTGTTATATTAGGGGACCAGGACTTGCGGTTTGCTTGGCTTTCCATCCCCAAGAGACTGTGCGGTGTGGCAGGGGCACCAGAAGTGTCTACAGACCTGCAACTGGGGTGCACTGACTCAAGTGGGTAGGCTCCAGGGTAGTGCAGCATGCCAGTGCAGGGATGACTCCAGCTGTGCTGGGGTAGAGAAGCCAACTCTGGAGGACCCTTAACGAGACTGAGACCTCCAGACTCAGAAATGGGCTTGCTGGGACAGTTTTACCCTAACATTTAATAGCTGTCTAATGGGTATTTCTTAAACTTCAATGTGCAATTGGTGTAGGGCTTCTGCTGGATTCGGATTCTGATCCCAGGTCCTCCATCTCTGACAACTTACACTACTGGCCTAAGGGCGTCACTTGGAATACCCAGGGTACAGGCCACCAAGGACCTCTTGGGAGTTGAATCTACATGCTGGACCTGTACTAGGTACTGCCTCGCACACCACTGTCAGTCACCCGGCAGCCTGCCCGGACCTGAGGACCGACAGGCTCAACACACTGCAAGGATAATTTTCCTATCACTGGGAACTTCCTTCTCTTCCTACTGTGTGGAGAAGCCAGAGTGAAGGCTCAGACTGGTGTTGAGGGCTGTGAGACCACCATTCCCACCTTCTGAAATGCAGCTGCCCTCAGCCTAGACCCCATCCCCAAGCAGGGGCTAGGTGCAAGGTTGCTGCAGAGCTGTCAGCCTCCCCTCAGCTCATTCCCCCTTAGGCGGCGTACGGGGCAACACCGAGGGCTTTCTAAAGATGTTCCAGGAATCCCTTCCCTCTGGGCCCTCCTCTATGCTTGTTTCCCGAGCCACTCGTCTGCACTACCTAGTTACATGTGCTGTGGGCCTGTGTCTGCCCAGGGAGGCTGGGCAGGGCATCTAGCTTGGAGCCAGCCACTAGATCATAAACCAAGCAGAAATGTCCTTATGGGGAGCCCCAGAAGACAGATGGCAGCCCTGCTAACTCCTAACTGGGAACTCAGGATCTGTGCAGCTGAGCAAGGGGACAAGAATCTGGGATCTGGGAACACAGACCAGAAACTAAACTGTCAGGACAAGCCTCAGGTGAGCAAGAAGCCCCCAAAGCATGTTGTGGTTGAGATAGCAACAGGCAGGAGCAGTGAGTGTGGAGCCAGGTCAGCTGGGGTGCCCCCTCCACACGGAGGTGACTGGCAGCAGAGCCAAGGGCATGAGGCAAGACCACAGAGCCTACTGGTGGTTTGGAATTTTCTTGTCTTTTGTTAAAAGGTGGGAAGGAAATGGGTATAGGAACCCCGGGCTCTGGGGGAGGCATGCAGGCTGCCCCAGCAGGCAGGTGCTGGGGGATGGGTACAAGAGTCCTGGAGTTTCCTATGATCCTTTTCTCTGCAGGGAACGGCAATGCTCGCTGGCAAAGGGATGGGGTCAGAGACAGAGCACTGGGGGGAGGGGCTGCGGGCAAGGGGCTCAGGGCTCACCTAACATGCAAAGTCCAGCTGCCCCAAAAACTAGGTTGCCTTTTGAAAAGTAGCATAAATACACAAACACAGCTACACGCACACATGCGGAGAGGGCTCTCATCTCCAAGGATGGGGGTCTAGGCCTGTTGGCCCCCCGAAGGCGCCAGGCCAGGAACCAGCACTGAGAAGTCTTCGGCAGCATACCCGGCCTCGGGCTGAGTCGTGGCCTCTGAAGTTCTGCTTACCAGGTAACCAAACCTCTCTGAACTAGGTGCTCGTGCCTATGCTCCTGCCAACTCCCGTGTGCACAGCTGTGCATGTTGGAGCAAGGCACATCCCTGCCTGGCTAGAGTGCAGTCTCTTCCCTCCAGGGCTCCGGGGCACGGGGTGCAGACAGAGGAGGGGTGAAGGGGGGCCCGCAGAGACATCCTCTCCCCCACCCCACGGGGTCCTGGCCTCCGGGAGGGGGGAGGGGCCTCCCTTATCTCTCTGCCTCCATGGCCGGATGGGCCCTGGGTTCTGAGGTGGCTTGTTGGGAGGCCAGGGGTGGCCAGTCTGAAGCCGGGGAAGGGGGTGCCGGAGTCCACAAGGATGGCTGCGGTTGGTGGTGCTGTGGGCCCCCAGGGGGCGAGGCCGCAGTTGGCCAGCTGGGTGTTGCGAAGCTGCTGGTGGCGGCATGGGGGAAGTGCGGCGGGGGCGACGTGGCTGTTGTGGCCATTGGGCTGCCGCTGCCGCCACCGTGGAAACTCTCGGAGGCCTTGAGCCGGGAGAACATGGTGAGGGCATCTGGGAAGTTGGGGGGTGTGGCAGGGGTGTTGGCGGGAGTGCACATCTGTGAGGAAGAAAGGAGAGAGCAGGGGTGAATACTCCTTGCCAGAAGGCTTCCCAGGCTCCCACTGCCTCTGAGGAGGGTCGTGTCCATATCCCTGGGAAGCCTTATGTGCCCCTTTCCCAGATGACACCTGGGCAGTACTCTGGGGCAGTTCCTTACTCAGCAGCTCTCAGTGTAAGACCCCAAGATATGCAACCCAGCCTTACCAGGGGCAGGTTGGCAAATCCACACTACCTAGTGCTTACCCACTGGCGGAGCCCTGAGGCTTTCACAGGGCCACACCCTCTTCCCCTAGAACTGGGAGCCCAAGCTCCGGAGGCCCATCTAGGCTGTTCACAGCATCCTCACAGCTGCTGGCTTGTCTCCTGGGGGTCCATGCCTGCAAACCCCAGTGCACTCCACCTGCAGCTTCCCTGGGTCAGGGGTTGCTGTGTGTGCCACCAGCCCAGCCTCCCACCTCCCTGCCCAGAGCTAGAGGCCCCCAACAAGGAAAGCCCTTGGGGTGCCAAGGGGCACTTACCATTTGGTGGTGGTGGCTGTAGGGGATGTTGGTCTCCTGGAAAAAGGCGCTGAGGGCTGTCTGCAGAAAAAAGGTCACACTTACCCTCCAGTACCTGTGAGCCTGTGGCTGCCCTGGTCCCCAAGCTCCTCTGGGGCTTGCTGCAACCATGGCTATGGTAGCCGAGGACAAGTGGCTGGTCACTACTCACCCCTCAGATGTCTGGCACCTGCGCCCTGGCCCCTGGAGCCATCCCGCAGGATCTCGGCCTCTGACTTATAGCCTACCTGCTCCGTCACCACCTGGGCAGTGGGAAGGCACTCTTGCTTTCCAACCCTGTTTGTTCCTGTCAGTCACAGGGGATGGAGGAAGGAGCAGGCCTGGAAGGTAGACACACCTGCTTCTTGGCCCAGCTCCACCTCGACTGCCCCTTGGCACTGCCCCTGCCAGGCCTCAGCTTCCCCATCTGTACCTCACAGACTAGGTGGCTTTCAGGTGCCCTTCCTGCAGCAGTGACCAGAGATGGTCATGTTTAAGGTCTCTCTCACCCAGGCCTCCCAAGGTATATTCCTGTGGTGGCAGAGCAGGATGACTCCAGCATGAACCCAGCTCCCATATCCACCTGCTCATGGGCAGCAATGCGCTGGACACATGACACCCCCCTGCCTCCCTCCACTCAAGGCCACACTGGTAAGGTGCCAAGGCCAGCAGGTCCCACCAGAATGGGAGGGCCGACCCTTGCTAACCCCATAGGCAGGAACCAGTGGTGGCCATCAGGAGGTTGGGGGAGAGGGCTGGTGGCTGCCTTCCCTGAGCCAGTTCAGTTGTTCCTAGGTCCTGGGGAGCCGAGGTGGGGGGGCCTCCAGGAGCCTCTAAGAGATGCTGGCGGAGAAGGGAAGGAACTGGCTGCTCTTGCACAAGTACTGGTGAGGGAGGAGGTCTAGTGTGTGTGCAGCAGTCCTAGGGTGGGGCCTGGCCAAGTTCCAGCCAGCAGCCTTCCCAAGTCCTCAGGCCTGCCTCCACAACCAGCACTGCCCAAAGCCCGCATAACTTCCTGACTCCTCCCCCAGCCTACACACCCAGAAACCAGCCAGGCTCCCAGGGCTGGCCCTCAGGGTTTCTTGAAAGCCAATGAATGATTCCTGGAATCTCCTGCTGGAGACTCCCTGAGTGTACCCAAGGGGCTGTTTGGGACTAGGGCACCAGGGCTGGTCTCCTCAGCACAGACACACTTTAGAAACTGCATTGAGGAGCTCCAGGTGATTGCTGAAGGCCACAGGGTGATTTCTCCATTGAGAAATATCTGTCAGCCTAGGCTTGGGCCCCTCCCCTGCAGCCTTCTGCCCCCATTAGCACCTGAATCAGCCACCCAGAAACACTGCAGGGTGCAGGATGCCAGCCAGGAAGGAAGGTGGGGGTGGGGAGAGAAGGCTTAAGCAGGAAGAGCCCCTCACTCCCTCTCAGGCAGAGGCTGAGGATGGGGGCCCCCACTTTACAAATGGTGAAGCCCAGATGCAGGGAGCTGAGAGAGGGGCTCTCCAGTCTGCCAGAAGCTCCAGCCCCTCCTGGGGACAGTTCCCCCCACAGACACGTCAGTCCTGGCAGCTGCTTTCGCAACCCAACTAGGGCTGCCTGAGGCACCAGTCTGGATGTCGGGGCGGCTGCCAGGCTCTGTGGGCTAAAAGCCCGCTTGCCAACTGGGCCCACTTCACACCAACCACCTGCCTGCCCAGCCTCAGGCAGGGAGAGAGCCCAGCAAGCAAACTGCCATGAATGTGGTTTTGCAAGTTTTGCCACATCCAACCTTAGAGACAAACAGGGATGATTAGGGTTGTTGGGAGACGTGGGGAGCAGGGAGGTTCTTCTGGGTGGGGCTGTCTGGGAGAGGGGGCAGTGCCTCACCACTGAAGCCTAGGGCTGGACTCACACCCCTACACACACACAAACAGAAGCAGTGATATAACCCTGAGTGGGGGAGTGGAAAGGGTTACGGGCAGGAAAAAAGAGCCTCCCAGACAGTCCCCACGCTGCCCAGGAAGCTCAGCCCCGAGTCCCCTGGGTCCTGGCACCACACTGGTGTCACCTGGGACGGCACCTGGAGGTCACTCGTCAGGTTTTGGAGGAGGATCACCAGGCGGCTCCTGGGTGGGATGGTGTGCCAGACCGGAGCTGCCCCATCTCCAGCTGTGCATACCACACAAGGCGCTCCACGCCGTGTGTACACACAACCTAGCGCGCGTGCACGCGCTCCACACACACTATACACCGCGAGCGCACCCGGCCGTGGCGTGTCCACACAGGCAGGCACCGACACGACACACGCTTCCCGTAGCGGATGCGCGCCAACGTGCCCAGGTTACCCCACCTCGGGGTGCCCGGCGGCCACAAGCGCACATACGTAAACACCGGCGCCCGTGGGCATGTGCGTAGCCATGGCCCCCCACCATCCCGCGGGGCACGCAGACCCCCCACTACCGCGGAGGGCAGGGTCCCCCACCACCTCGGGGCGCACGGCCCCGCACCGCCCTGGGGCACTCGGATCGCAGCCCGGCGACTCCGCCCTCTGGGCCAGCTCGGCCGAGGCCCGGGGCGTCCTCCTTCCGGGCGGCAGCCCGACGGTCCGGCCCCGCCGCGCTCCGCCCTCAGCCGTTACCCGCAGAAAAGCGGGGCGGGGGTGTCCCCCGCTCCCCGACTCAGCGCCGTCGGCGACTCGGGGTCCCCCCGCCAAGTGGGCGGCGTGTCCGGGGCCCCAGCCCCCGGCCCGTCCTACACGAGCCCGCCGCGATCCGGTGGGCACCGCGCCGCACGTGTGCCCCCACCCGCGCCCCGCAGCCCCGGCCGCGCACCTCGAACTGCCAGTGGGCCGCCTGCAGCAGCTGCTTCGCCTGGTCGGCCGCGCACCCCGCCGTCAGCACGAACTGGTTGATCATGAGCTGATGTTTGAGCTCGTCCATGTTCACGAGATGGCGCCGCCGCGCTGCCCGCTCCGGCCGCCTCTGCCTCACGCGTCCACCATTAGCGAGCCGGCTCAGGCTAATACAAATATTTACTGTGCGGCTCTGACTCACCCGGCCTCGCCTCGCGCGGCCGCCGGCACGGCATGCTGGGAGTTGTAGTCCACACCGCCCCGGGCGGGGAAGGGTCGCTGTTCCCCGGCTCTCGGCTGTCCCCACGCAGCCAGCTCGGGAAGCACGTGGGAAAGAGTACGGCCTCTGGGACAGGGAAGGAAAACCAGCAGCCTCGGGGTCCCCCCTCCGGCGGGACTTCCACTTTTCCCACGCTAGCGCTTGTGATTTTTTTTTTTTTTTTCGGAAATCTCAGCCGCCCGAGATCTGGCGCTAGGACCCCACGGAGACAGTTGCTGGAGCGACGCCGAACTCCCACTCCCAGAATGCCTCAATTTATTTGCATCGGTCTGTCCCCGGTGACGTCACTGAGTGTGGCTGCTGCCCGGCCAATGAGACTCAGTGAAGTGTTAGGACCTGGCCATATAAGGTAAACATAGCTGACCGTCCAATGAGGCGGGGACGGGGGCGGGCACTGGGTTGCGGGGGCGGGGCCGGAGAAGGGGGTGGGGCGTCGCGGGCTCTGTTTACAGCGTTGCACATGTCGCTTCCGGCTGACGTCTTGGTGGACAGTCGTGGCTCCGCAGGTTCCGGCGAAGCGAAGAACCGAGTGTGGAGTCGCCAGTCCCCCGCCGTGCGTGACCTTGGGCTGGTTCCTATGTAGATCCCCTGTGTGTGTGGCCTGGGGTTACCAGAGCTGCAGTCGTTAGGTTAGGGTGGCGGTGGGCCTGTGGGGACCACGTGTTCCCAGTCCGATTTCGAGGACGTGCGGGAGTTGAGGTGAGGCGGGGACACCAGTAGTCCTGCTCCCACCTAGCGAAAGACCCTGTCCGGACCCCCTTCGCCTCGCCACGGGCTTTTCTATTGTTGTAGGGTTTTTGACCCCGAATACGGCAACAACTTCAACTCTTGTCTCGCAGGAAAGAATTTTCATGCAGACACAGTTTAGTTTTAAAGCAAGATTTATTAGAAAATTTGAGAAAGGAAACTCCTGCCCTAGTGACAGGAGGGGGCTCTGAGATAGAAAGGACCCGTGCGTGGGGGGTGTTGTGGTGTTTTAAAGCTTTGTTTTAGAAGAGGATTTTCCAAGGACAAAGGAGTTTTCTGGTCCTCAGGTATCTGGTTTTGGGGGCAAAAGACCAGAGAGGTGCCAGACACATTCCAGGCCTTAGGCACAGGTGTATTACTTCCTCCTTTCAATGATAAGGAGATCAGCCTGAGGCCCTCCCACACAGTGGCCGGAGGTGATAGCCAATGCTTCAGGTGGGGAATTGATATGCTAATAGCACCCTTGTCCCTTGAAAGAAACGTGCTCTGGTGAATCTAAGACACGGTGGGGAAATTCCCTTCTATATAAAAAAATGACTTGGGGACCCAGAATACCCTAACTGCCTACTACCTAGTCTAACTCCTCTCTCACTGTGGGGTGGCAGGCCTGAACCCCCCAGGCAGCTCGGGTGGGATCCCTGGGTGAAATACAGCTGGGACCCTGGCCCTGGTGCAGGGCCCTGTTTTTGTTTGTTTTGACATTTTGCAAATCATCCTGTATGCGAAATGCAGACAAAAAGAAAAAAACAAGGGCCCAGCGGCATGGCCTAGCAGCTAAAGTCCTGACCTTGAACGCACTGGGATCCCATAGGGGTGCCTGGTCTAATCCTGGCGGCTCCACTTTCCATTCAGCTCCCTGCTGTGGCCTGGGAAAGCAGTGGAGGATGGCCCAATACTTTGGGACCCTGCACCAGCGAGGGAGACCCGGAAGAGGTTCCTGGTTCCCAGCTTCGGATCGGCCCAGTACCGTCCGTTGCGGCTCACTTGGGGAGTGAATCATCGGACGGAAGATCTTCCTCTCTGTGTCTCTTCCTCTCTATATTTCTGACTTTGTAATAAAATAAATAAATCTTTTAAAAAATGTAGATGAAGCCGTCAGCCCTGGGTCCCAGACGCAGGACCCCAGGCCCAGCAGGGACTCACCGTGTGGCCTGTGGGACTGTGGCATCATGCCAGCATGCCTTATAAGAGTGCTGCCGGTTCTTCTCCTTCCCACCTGGCTCCTTGCAAGTGTGTCTGAAACCTGGAAGATGGGTGCAGGACTTGGGCAGTCAGCGTTCCTCTGTCCCTGGGACTCCTGATGAAGACCACAGAACGGGGACCGAGTTACTGGCTGCTCACTTTGGCTTGGCCCAGCTCTAGCTGTTGGGGTCATTTGCGAAGTGAATTAGTCCCTTCATTTTGCCTTTCAAATCAATATTTATATGATGACTGCTACTGTGTGCTGGAAGTGGGGCAGGCTCTGCAGGCAGACCTGAGGGTCATTGTTGGCCCCGGCCTAGAGTCTGTGCTGTCCTGTGTATGCGTGTGTCAGGGGTGGACATACAGGCAGCTGTGGGCCCTCCCCACACTGCTGTGTTTCCAGCCAGGCAGAGTGGGCCCTGTGTTGGGGTGGCAGATCTGCCGGCACCCCTCCCCCCACCCCCAGGCAGGTGTAGTTGAGGTTTCTGGACGGGCTTGACGGGTCTGGAAGGAGCTGGCCCAAGCCAGAGGACTGAGTAGGCTGGGACCAGGGAGCAGCAGAGAGAGTCAGCTGGGACCAAGGCCCACTTCTGCTGCCGTGCTCACCCTTCTCAAGCTCCTAGGACCCAACCGCCCCCCCAGCTGACTCGTTTTCTCCCGGCCGTGAAGGGGAAAATAAACAACTTGTTCTCCACTAGGATCCTCCTGGCTTGAGGGTGGACTTTGATTTCTGGGCAGGCTGGGACAGGCCCCACAGCTGGAACCAGGGGCTGGGGAGGGAGGGAGGAGTTTGCTGCACTGCTCTTATCTTATCGAAGGGCCTTGCCAAGGGTCACGGGACCACTGGTCTTCCTGCTCACACACTCTAATTTACTGGTTGGGTGTGTTTATGGGGGAGGCATGCTGCTCAGCAGGCTTGCAAAATCGGCCTTTCAGGGTGGCCACAGGCTGTCCCCAGGGTGTGTCTGCGAGTAGCTGGGGACCCAGCGCTGGCTGGCTAGCTGACCAGGTAACCCTAGGATGCTGCCCTGCCTGCCTCCGGCTCCTCAGACCCTCTTCTTGTGCTTCCCTGGTTCTCAGCCCTGCTGGCCTCTCAGCACTTGGCCACACTCAGCTGCATCTCATGTCAGGGCCTTGCACATGGGCCCATGGCCCCTGCCTAAAAACCTGGAGCAGTCTCCTTGTCGCACAGTGTGTTGGCAGGATTATGTCACGTCTCCTTTCAGATACACTCTGCCATTACCATCCATTGGTCCATAAATTCCCCAGTGCACCTACCATGTTCTGAAACTAGGCTTTTTTGGAGTAGCTGTTTATCCCCTAACTTGCAGGATCCCTGTAGCTGGGCTCACCACCTGTTACGTAGTATCTGCATGGGAAATACTTTCGAATCAGAATCAAATCACCCAAGATGAACCTGGACTGAATCAGGAAGGGCCAGTGCCCCAGCTGGGCGTAGATAAACAGAGAATGTGGCTGGAGGGAGAATGTTGGATTACTCAGGCATCCAGCAAGAAGGAGGGCTCTGGCCCAAGCACTTGCAGTTTCATTTTTTCCAGTGGGAACAGCAGGAGCTTCCTCCTCTCTGTCCCTGCCTGTGGTCAGGGAGTGCAGTCACTATGTTGGTCAGTGTGTGTACACCTAGGTTGTGTGAGTCAATAGAACTGTTAAGGAGATAGCAGCCTGCAGGTGTGGGAGGAGCCTAAGGGAGGCCGAGCACCTGCTGAGAGGAATGCAGGAGCCACTGGAAAGCTAGCCCAGCGTTTCTCCACTGCAAGATTCTACCTGTAGTACCCTAATACCTTCATAGCTGGTCTCTGGTCTCCCCCCCCACCCCCGCCTGCAAGCAGAGTATCCCAGGAAAATGCTGCTGACCCAGGCTAATCAGGGGAACTACCAATTCTGAAAACACCGGGGGAAAAGAAAAAAAAGGCCTTGGAGGAATTTCCCCTATTGCTTCCCCAGGAGGCTGTTGGTCAAGCAGAAGGCGGTGGGGCAAGAACTGGACCCAGTGCCCCCAGAAGTCCCAGTCTACATGTGAACCCTGGGCTCTCAGGTCTTTGCTGAACTGCCTGGCAACCCTGCCTGCCCTAGGCAGTGTGAGTGACACTGTGTCTCAGGGTCTACTGGAGGTCAGGGTGGGACCCTGTTCCTTCTGAGGGGCACCCTACCTCGGTAAACCTTACTGGCCAGATTACCCCTCCTTTCTGTCTCACAGGAAAACAGAAACTTCCACGCCAGCATCCTCCACTGACAGCAGGCCAACATTTGAAACAAGCAAAGATGGCTCATGCTGGGTTGGAGTGCCCAGGGCCAAGAGCAGACTGGAGCCTGATTGTCCTGGGAGACAGGGTACAGGGAAATGGGGCAAAAGGGCTGCTTCAGATTCCAGCTTTATGGCATGTCCTCCGTGTGGCTAGGGCAGGGCACCTGCCTTCCCTAAGCCTCACGTTCTCTCAGAACGAAAGCAGAACACCGCATATGTGCCAGACTTCCTCCAGGGTGCTGACGCCCAACGGCTCAGTCATCCTCCACCAGGGATACCACTCTTTCCCCAACCCCAGTTTCTCAACTGAAAAGCAGGTTAAAAATGAACCCTCCACTTGGGCTGCTCACGGAACTGTGTGTCAGAAAGTAGGAGAGTTTGTGCACTTCTAGTCTTCTTTTAAGATTTCTTTTTTGCAAAAGAGAGAGAGGGAAAGTAAGAGGCATCTTTTATCCGCTGGTTCATTCTTCAGATGGCTGCAACAGCCAGGTGTGGGCCAGGCTGGAGTCAGGAGCCGAGAATTCCATCCTGGTCTTCCTTGTGGGTGCAGGGCCCCAAGCACTTGGGGTATCCTTCTCTGTGTTCCTAGTTGCACGGTCTAGGAGTGCAAGTGTAGCAGCCAGGATTAGAACCCAACAGGACATCTGATATGGATTCAGGCATGCAAGTTGATGCTTATCAGTGGCTGCACCCAGTCACCACGTTTACTCCAAGGTTTTCATGTACCCCTGATTTTTTTTTAATATTCATTTTTATTGGAAAGTAAGATATACAGAGAGAAGGATAGATAGAGAGGAAGATCTTCCACCTGCTTCCCAAAAGGCTGCAAAGGCTGGAGCTGAGCCAATTTGAAGCCAGGAGTCAGGGGCCTCCTCCAAGTCTCCCAACGCAGGTGCAGGGTCCCAGAACTCTGGACCACCCTCAACTGCTTTCCCAGGCCACAAGCAGGGAGCTGGATGGGAAGTGGAGGAGGGGCAGGAGTAGAACCTGCGTCCCTATGGCATCCCAGGGCTTGCAAGGCCAGGACTTCAGCCACTAGGTTACCACGCCTGGCCTCGTGCCCCTGACTTTTGCCAACTTGTCTTCACCACGTTCTACGCGGGCCTCCGCTTTCCCTGTGAATACAACAGGGGACACGTCTGCTGTCTCTCCATAGAGGTTGTTAAATACCTTCAAAGTGCAGAGACCACCACAGGTGCTGCCAGGTAAACTTGCGTCAATCTTCCAGGGTATCCGATAAAGGTGCGCCCTCTGCTGATCGGGGTCC